ACATTAAAAAAAATGGTGATGTCCTTTTTCAAATGGTTTCCTCCGGTGTTGTATTCCCACTCCAAAGTAGAGTTAGCACAAACAAATGAACAGTCTTTTTAAATTTACCCCTTCCCACAGAGACCACAGTCATATCCAGCCCCCACTTTTAACTAGTCTCTACATTCAGAATTATATGGAATAGTTAAACAATATAAACATGTGGAATCACTGTCAGGAAGACAGGGAGAGTCCGTGGACTCCAGGGACAAGTCTGATACAGATGTGTGCTTGGTATAAAGGGGAAACAGAAGAAAAATTAGACGAAGGAATTGGTAGGGAAGGCAAACCGACTGAGGACTGCGACAGTGCATTGGAGGCCCACGTTAAAACAAAGGTATCTTAAATCTCAGGTTGAGAAGGCAGAAGGAAGAGACTCCCATATCTGTCCACAAGGGGTGTGTTCTGACTGCAGTGTTTGCACACATCACAGAGCAAGGCCTAGAATTTCCCTTTCTGTCCTGCCTTTTGCTCTTTGCTGAAATGAGTATGCCTTATGGCCTTTGGCCAGAGGCAAAAGAGCCAAGAACACCAAGGCTACCATTTTGAAACGCAAGTGGAATTTTCGTTTGCTTGATTTTGATGCATTTGCTGACAAAATTGTTCGAAAAATGGCTTTAAAATTTTACTCATGGGCAATTCTGAGGCAGAAGAGTATGGCAGTGAGTGAAAGTCCGGGGAAGCCAGGAGTGAAGGCTGGGAGAAGCTTGTCATCCAAGATAGACGGGAAATCTATCTTGTCCCTGACACTCGCGAAGGCCCACTCCAGAGTTCATGATGAGGATGTGTGGTTCATTATATATTACAACACACATCCCTGGGTGGATCTTTAGGATGCTGTTGAGTGTGCAGTGCACTGAGTTATGTGCAGAGCTACCTGTACTGAACAGAGCATGTGGGGGGACCTGAGCCCCAAAGCCACACAAGATACGGATTACTCAAAAAGCATGCACTTTATGATATAGCCCGTTTTGCACTGGAAATATTCAGGAAACTTTGTCTTGGCTCGAGCCTTCTCTCTCTATTGGAAGAGAATCTTTCTCTAACAAGTTGTGAGAATTTCTGCTACACCATGGACATGTTTCTATCCAATACCTTGTTATGGGATACACGTAACCAGAACCCCTTTGAGGGTACCAAAAACTTAGTATCCCCAGTATCAGTTCCGCTATTGACTTCTATTATCGGCCACTCTATGTAAGCCCAAGGATTATTTACGTCACATAGAAAGGAGAAAGAGAACACCCTATGAAAGACACTGCAAAAATCTTAGGAGTTTTAAGCCTTCCACGATCTTGGTATTTTGCTGAGCCACACGCTACTCGATCTGTCATGGCGTCCTCAAAGATCTACCCATTGCCTGTTACTGGAAGAGTTCCAGTAACAGCTCATGTTTCATGACAGCTTTATTAGAGAGAAAAATAGGAAATTGTCCAAAATGTGTCTGAGCTATGAATCAAAAAGGAGGAAAATTTTCTCGTGAATATTCTTTAGTTCTCCGTCAAAAAAAAAGAAGCTAAGAAGTGCTGTTCTCACCCCACACCTCGATAAGTTTGGGGTATTTGAAGAAATTATCTTCTTTTTGTTTTGCTATTCTATGTGGGTGGATGTTTTGCTGTGTATATTATGTCTGTGCACGACATGAGTGCCTAGTGCTCACAACGGCTGGAAGAGGGCATTGGATTCCTTGAAACTGGAGCTATGGATAATTGTGACGCACCATGGGACTGCTGGGAATTGAACCCAGATCCTTTGAAAGAGCAGCCACTGCTCTTAACTACTGAGCCATCTCCAAGCCAGGCAGCAGTTATCTCTGTGCAACAATCTTCACTGTCCTGTGTACATCAGTGACATTAGCACAACTTCCACAAAACAACTGCCTAAGTGACAGACTTATTTATAATCTCACAACTCTTTAGATCGGGAGCTCTGGGGGAGCTTCACTGGGCTAAAACCGGGATCTGGCAAAGCTGAGGTCCTCCCTGGGGTCCTAGAGAAGAAACTGATTCTTTCTGCTCAGGGCAGCTCCAGTTCCTTAAGGCTGAGACTAATGTTTCCACCCACACTGAGCCATTTCCAGCTCTGCAAAGTTAGCCCCATTTCTGGACTCGGGCACCACGTCCTCCATTGTTAAAGCCTGCCATATGGCCAGTTTCCAGTATTTCAAAGGTTGTCTTCACCCTCTCTGATGCTGTGCCTCCGACACGCTCCTCTGTAATCCTTTCTTAAGAACTGATTGTGATTATACCGGCCCCACCTGGATATGTCAGGATAGCCTCTACCCGTTAGGATTCTCAGGCACACTGAGATTCCGTTTGTCCGTTTGGGCACCATATCCTCGGATTCTGGGGATCATTGGAAGGTAGCTTCGAAAGGTAATAATGCTGCTGCCACACCATGAAAATATTTTGTATCGCCAAGAGGTTACCTTATACATGAGCTATAAAAGTAGGTGAATAAAAAATGCTATAAATACACATTTCTTTTTTAACCTATTTCAATGTTTTTGAAAGGAAAATTTTAACCCATTGTTTGAAAACACAAAGATGTTCCACTTTTCAAATCGTAACGTGATAGAAGAGTGGCAATTACAGGTGACTTTTCTACAACAGCCTCCACGCGTTTGGTAGATGTGATCTAAATCCTAGTGCCCTGACCTGGGAAGCGTGCCCACAGTGCCCTGCCGTCACACCAGCCGACTGGGAAGTGTACTCACAGTGCCTTGTAGTCACACCAGCCGACTGGGAAGTGTACCCACAGTGCCTTGTAGTCACACCAGCCGACTGGGAAGTGTGCCCACAGTGCCCCGTATTCACACCAGATGACTGGGGAGCGTGCCCACAGTGCCCTGCAGTCACACCAGCCGACTGGGAAGCATGCCCACAGTGCCCTGCCTCACACCAGCTGACTGGGAAGTGTGCCCACAGTGCCCTGCAGTCACACCAGCCGACTGGGAAGTGTACCCACAGTGCCCTGCCTCACACCAGCTGACTGGGAAGCGTGCCCACAGTGCAGACTCTGAACTAAAAGCAGCTGGCATAATGGAATGACCAAATTTCAAGTTACCAAGAGATATACATTGAGTACAGGGGAAAGAATAGAAACTGCCCATTGCTGCCATTAAAATAGCATTTCCGATTTTTTTCTTATTTTAGATAGTCGAGTCTTTATATTATTGTACTTTTATTATTTAAACCAATTTTTAAATTTACATATATTTTTATCATATTCTTCTCCTCCCCCAAGTCTCTCTGGGTCCTGTCTCCTTCTCTACCCATCCAACATTAAGTTCTTTCTCAAAAAACAAACAAAACCCCATGCAGCAACAAAATCAAAGAAACAAAATAAAACCACACCAAAAAAGGGAAACAGAAACAAAACCCACCCAAACCCCACCATCGCCCTAGGGTATAGTGCAGACAGCACACCATGGTTGATAGAAGAGCATTTCAAGAATTACAAATGGATTAAATGTTTAAGTTTTTAAAAATAAATATAACTTTGTCATCATCCATCCCATACTGTACACATTTTCCCACAGGCATAAAATTAATATATCAGTAATTTAAACAATAAGCTACATTGTGTTAATAAATATCCTTTATAAATACACATGTCTAAATATATTAGAGTAAATATACTAAATTTTACTAACTAGTATAATCAAAAACTGAAAATTACTATGCTAATAAATATACTACATATATTTAGTTAATATATTTAACTTATTGCTTATTAAAACTATTTTTAAAGTGTTTGTCAATTAACTTGATGTTAGTTTTCTATGAGTATCACAATGGTTAATTCAGATATAGGTGATTTCATTCAATCACTCAAACATAACATGAAAGAATGGTTACTAAGGAGCCAAGGAAAGATTAAGCAATTGTTTCGTAAAAAATTATTTGTGTGTGTGTGTGTGTGTGTGAGAGAGAGAGAGAGAGAGAGAGAGAGAGAGAGAGAGAGAGGCGGGGCAAGGAGGGAAGGAGGAAAGTGGTGGGAGAGAGAGAGAGTGTTTGTGTGTATGACTTTATGTGTGCATGTGCATGCCAGAAACCATGGAGGTCAAACGAGGGCATTGGATCTACTGGAACTGGAATTATATGCAGTTGTCTAAGTAAACACACGTTATTCTGCTTCTATGAAGTTACTTTTGAACACTGAGCTTTGTCTTAGTTAGGATTTCTATTGCTATGATAAAACACCATGACCAAAGCAACTTGATGAGGAAAGTTTTATTTCATCTTACATTTCCAAGTCATACTCCATCACTGAGTGAGATCAAGGCAAGAACTCACACAGAGCAGGAACCTGGAGGAAGGAGCTAATGCAGAGGCAGTGGAGGGATGTTGCTTACTGAATTGCCCCCCATGGCTTGCACAGGTTGATTCCTTATAGCACCCAGGACCACCAGCCTAAGGGTGGCACCGCCCACAGTGGGCTGAGACCTTGCAAATCAATCATCCATTAAGATAACGCATCACAGGACCGCCTACCAGGCCATATGGTGGGCATTTCCTCAGCTGAGATCACCTCTTCCCAAATGAGTCTAGCCTGTGATTGGGTGATACAAAATTCGTCAGTACAAACTTTAACAGACACAGACAAAACTCACTCATCCCTCTTAAGTGTGCTGGGGATCTAACAGACCCTGTTTCAGATACAATCCTTCTTGCTCTGAAATATACAGATAAACTTCACTAAATTCAGTAGCAATGTCTAAAGCGCTCCTATGCTCTGGATCTAGGTCTTTATGTTACAGTTTTTGTTTTCTGGTGACCGGAAGAACATTGTAAGCCATGTTGCATATTGTTAATAAGTAGAAAATAAAGAATGATGCCAATCAATTTTATACTTTCAATATGTGTATTTCATCTGATATTTGTGTGCTTATCTGTCTGTATCTTGTCAACGAATCCAGCATTACTCCCTTGAAAGTATAACAAGCTCGTTCTACTTACCAAACTATTCCCTGAGCCCCAGAGCCAATCGGCTTCAGGTTCTGGTAGCGCTTGAGAACGGTGAAGGTCGAGTCTCCTACTTCCACACTGTAGAACTGGTTGTCTACTTTGCTTTTGCTCATGTTGTAATGTTTGGCAACGTATGACACATCCACGTGTTTGTCGAATCCCTGTCAAGAAGAAGGAGGAGATGTGAGACAAGAGCTCCCAGTAGGACAATGGCAATGGATACAGAGCAGTGACTACAAGTATCTATCCATCTACCATCTGGTGGGGATAAATCAGACGAAAGAAACAGTCCTTAGTAGGCCCTGTCCATTTACTTGAAGTAAATGAGGCTTAAAATGCAAGAGTGGTTTCTCAGTATTAAAATGTTTAAGGCTTGGGAAAATAGATCAATGGTTCGACCCCTAGTAACTCAACAAAAGCAGCAACCAATGCCTGCTTAAAATAGAGAAAGAGGATATTTTGTCACAGGATAATTTCATCCCTTTTAGATGAAAAAATCCTGAAGATATTCTGGCTTTGGCATAGCTTAGACACTTAAGGGCTGAAGGAAATTAGGCCAGTGCTGACTGCTCACAAGAGGGGGCTAACGATGCTGAGTGCAATCCTTTCCTCTAATAGAGCTCAGGCACAAACTAGCATGCAGGTTCATCTTTTATTAATTGGGCAAATTTAAATTAAATACAGTTGACTTCATTTTTCTCATTAATACCCAAAGTGCTACTATCCTTATTAAGTGCTAAAAATACTAAATTAAATAAACATTGCACACTCTGTTTTGAGGGTGCTTAGATTTTACATATCTTGGTCATTGCATTTCCTAGTTACCTATGGGAAAGTTTTTTATGTCAATCATATTTGATAATTAAAGAATTGTCTTAAAATTCTGAATTTTTACACATAATATATAATAAAGAGCTACTACCCATGCTTAGTATTTATTCATAAAAGCTCTTATGTCAGACTTTACTACACAAAAGATATGGACTATAGTTAGATGGTTCATACCATAACTAACTGCTTGCACGTGACACACACTGGTGAATGCCTATGTAATACTTAGGCCTCTTCTTGGTATTTTCATTTAGGTTTTAAACATGCATTCTTTCTGTGTATTCTTTCCAACAATAGAGAAACAAATAATCTTAGCCAGTGGATCTCATTAGCTGCAGCATCCCCATGTTGGGGGCATTCAGTTGGGAAAATCCTGACATCCTGTACAAAGCCACAGTGATGAGATATAACTCATGGGTTCCCTTTGAAACTTTACTTGGTGGCTCTGCAGGAAGTGGATATTCCCACCCAGCCAATCATTTTCCACATATATCACGAGGTTTCAATGTCCTGAGGAAGCTTTAGTCAGTGAAAACTCCACCTACCCTGCTTTGAGCTTAGAATTTAAACCAAAGAAGTTTTGTATAATTTAACACATTAACTCTCTGAATATCAGTTCTCATACAATATGAAAGATTTAAACTGTTTTAGGCTCTGAACCTGTGAATTGACCACAGAACCATTTTCTTTGGAAATTTTTGTCATCTCATGTCTAAATAAAAAGGTAAAATGGAAGTATTTCTTAGTCTCCACCTGAGCAGAAATATGATCCAGATAGGATGGTTATGTCATAGAACACAATCCAGGCAGTATGGTGACGTCACAGAATATCATCCAGACAGGATGGTAATGTAAGGAAAACTGAGTGGGGATTATATGAGCTTAGCTAGAAGAATGTGAAAATCTACTGGATGATCGTGGATGCCCCAGAATGGTAAGAAAGCTCTAGAACTAGATAGACATCATAAGCTGCAGCCTGTGTCTGTCACCAGGCATAGCGGCAGCATTTGGTACAAATGTGGGAACCACAAATGTTGGAGTAAACTATGGATTGCTATCTGCATTGTCTAGAGAGGAAGCAGAAAACCTAGGTAATTTCTCAATGTAGCCAAAGTCCTGAAATCTGGAAGGTAGTCCATACAGCGTAGCATAGAAAATGAAACAAGACCTTCAAAAACAGGGTGTTGTGAGCCTATTCCAGGTACAACTCTGGAATCTAGGGTTTGTGCAGAGGCTATGGACAACTGCAAGCACAAGAACATTGAAGTGCAAACTATCAAGGCTTTTAACCCAGTGCACACACAGCTCTCCAAACCGCTGTCACTTCTACTACAGACTAATGGTAGGGGTGGTGCAGAAAGCCCTGCTTCTTGCTAAGGAAGGTTAAAACAACCCCAAACGGAATTACAATATCAAATACTTCTCATTCTCAGGATTAATGTGGGATGACTGACACCGCCCAACATGGCATATGTTATGTTCTCACCCTTTGTTGCACCCCTTAGTATTTGGAATATTGCAAAAATACTCAGAACAAGTTGGCTTTATCAACTCTAAATGCTCCTTTTGTCTTCCCTGTCTTTTTCTTCTGTTGATGAGTAGTGTTCCTAAAGTATTGCATGTATGTTCAATCACACATCTACTAATTACGTGTGTACTAATCACATGGATATAATAATCATGTGTATGCCAACCACACATGTGTAATAATCACATACACATAAAAATCACATGTGTTAAATAATCACATATGTACTAATAAACGCATATGTACAAAAGACATGTATACTGGTCATACATGTGTACTAATCACACATGTCTAACTGTCACATATTAATGATCACATGTGCAATAATCTCGTGTGTATAATTATCACATGTGAGTAATAATGACATGCATTAGACTTCCTATCCCAGATTCCTGACTCCATGCAGCACCATTATTCATTTGTAGGCATTCCTGTGGTTTTCCTGGCTATAATCTCCATTTTCCCATGAGAGTTGAACTGTTAGCACTTCAATATCTATTCAAGGAAGTTTAATAATTCTTACGGCTTCTTGTTCAGCCTTATCTAATCTATGTAATACTTATAGGTGCCTAACCTAGTATTGATGACATGTTTGCTACGTAACAATTACTAGGTCAGCACTGGCTATGCAGTAAAGACAAGACAAAGTTGCAACCTAGAATGACCATGGCAAAGTAGTTAAGTTCAGAAGGTACATTCTACAAGAGAACAAAGTAAATATTCTGGTAATAAACAGGAAGGGATAACCTATGGTCTGTATATAATCATCATTGATTCATTCAAATAGCAGTGTTGCTTCAAATACAGGAAGAAAATAACATGAATTCTATTTTGTAAAGACATGGCTAGCCATGTTAGTCATGTTTCTGTTGCTAGAATAAAATACTCTACTCTAGCAAACGCAGTTTGAAAGGGAAAGCTTTATACTAACTCACAGTTCAAGGGTATAGTCCATCATGTCAGGGAGATCATGATGGCATAAGTTTAAAGTGACTGTCACATTGCATCCATGGTCAAAGATGAGGGACTATACATGACAGTATTCATCTCCCTTTTCCATCTTAGTCAGTACAGGATCCCAGCCCAGGGAATGGTGCTGTCCACAATTAAGGCGCTCTTCTCTGGATTAAACTAAATAACCCCGCACAGGCATGCCAAGAGAGTGTCTCCTTGGTGATTCTAGATTCTATCAAGTTGACAAGGAATATCACTTATCACACTAGACAACAGAGAGTTTTGGGGAGAGATTCTGAAGTTTTAAGGTCTGTGCACTCATTTCTTGCCGCCCTTCCATCTGGAGTCTGGAAGGACTGGCCATTAAACAAGCTCCAAGTTGAAACCTATCCTGTGTCAGCCATAGATGGTGAGTTTTCCAAAGCCATCATGAAGTGTGAAGGGCTTGGTTTCATTCACTATGAAATATTGAGCACATCCCACTGCTACACAGTTTTAAAATCCCTATAGACATTTAATCCCCGACTCGGTAGGAAAAGTCAGGAGTCACTTCTAGTGGATTAGCCACTGGTAGACAATTCTTTAGATGTATCCTTTGTACTTTAAATTATCTGCCCAATGTCACGGCTCTGCTTTTGACACAGGTGAAATCAGCATTTCATCTTATACACTGAAAGATGGAGCTCCTCCATGACGCCATTGCAAGGTCATCCCAGAGAGCTAACAGAAAGCACTAACCACGCCCTTCTTGGGGCAAGGAGGCACACCTGGACTCCATTTTAAATCTGAATCAAATCATCGGTCCAGGAGATTTAGAGTGAGAGGCCTGAGGTGCAGTACTTTGAAATATCAGTAGGTTTTCTTTTGTTGGGGACATGTGTGCCATTTTGTTTCTCCATGTGTGAGTCTTTAAAGAGAGTCTCATTCTGGAATCTATTTCCCTGGAAGCCTAGTTGGCCCAGAGATGTTACTCTGTGGAATCAACAGATTATGACAAATTAACAGTATAACAAAACTGTTTTCACTAAACTTCCACTTAGTCATTGCTTTCTGCTGTATGAAAGAGGCTTTTGAAGTCAACAACAGTAGTGCAGGGTGTCCTCCGCCTGCCCTGTCTCTCTGTGTACGAAGGGAGCAAACAAGCACTACATGGAGCTTTCTGAGCAACAGGTTGGTATTAGTTCAGGAACTGTGTTGAGTGACTAATAGATCACTAAATGTAAGAATCCAGTTTTCTCATTTTTCAAGGGAAAAATTCTAGAGAGACAACTTCTGCAATGAGTAATAATGAGGCTCTGCATGAAGACAGCCTGCTTCAGAATCCTGCTACGAAACCTTCGGTGACATCATTATAACCCTGGCCTCAGTGTTCTTATACACAGAAGGAAAGACATAGCCTCCTCTTCATCAAAGGGGCATTTACATGGGATGATCTGTATAAATTTCTTAACTATTACACAGATATCATAACTATGATAGAGAAGTTGTGTAACATTTAAAGCCATACTTAGAATGTTTTAACCAAAGTTCATCCAACTTTTAAGCCATGCTTAAAGCCAAACACACCATGTTAGAGGTCTAAAGTCTAGAGAGATGGCAGGATTGAAAAGAGTCAAACAACTTATTCCACTTGTATTGTAGCTGGTGTTCTGAGAGTCCACATGTGTGCCACACTGTACTTCTTCCCAGCCTCCTTTGCGGTTGGCTGGGACCATGTTAATGCTGACCTATGAGGAAATGCAAAGTAACAGCTAACTGCAGAAGTAGTTCTAAAATGATGCACCTTAGGAAGTTAGCACGATTGCTCAGTGGGTAGGGACACTTGCTTCCAACCTAATGATTTGAGTT